CAGGACTTACCCTTCCCAATTTTACAATTACAGTTATATCCCTACAACGATAACCATCCCAAAATCCAGATTCCACGATCATGAAATGATTCCATCAAAATCCCATCTCAAAATTCAAACTTCCCCTTCAGCTCAAAAATGTAAAGCAAGAATTTTTATGACTCTGCTAATGGGAATCTCAAGAACAAAAATTGTAAAGAATGAAACTTGACACACCTTCGCTTCCAGTTTGATACCAACCCATTTAAGGAAGTACATTAATAAAGAAAGATTAACAGCTTCAAACTTCAAATATATTTTACAATAAAGAAAGACAAAATTACAAAGCATAATAAAGACAAGAGAAGGCTGACAATTTTAGACAAGCCAATGCCAGCCATAACAAGAACTTCAAACCCAAAAAGCACTTATTCAGGAAACATTAAATCAGAAGCTCTAAAACATCAACTCTGCAACTACGTTCTTCTTTGAACAAGTCTTCTGGCTTTCCTCATCTTTCTTCCGCTTTGACTTGGTCGGCCATCAAACAAAGACACAAACCATTTTGGTTTTCCTGTTCGGAATACAAGATATCCCATCAGCAGTCCAAAAACAACTCCACATCCATAGCCTAACACCACAACTCTCCAGCCAAATCTCCATAACTCATCTTTTTCTTGGAAGGAGCTCGGCAGTGTCCCAATTCCATCACAAGATTTTGACAATGGGATTCCACACAGTTCAAGGTTTCCTTCATAAGAACCATTTCCAAAGGTGTTGAACTGATTGCCTTGTGGTATGCGTTCGACAAGATGATTATTTGAAAGATTCAATACGGAGAGTTGTGTCAAAGATACCAATTCATCAGGAATTTTCCCTGCCAGCTCGTTGGAAGAGAGATCCAACCATTCCAGATTCGTCAAATTCCCTAGTGACAGTGGGATATGACCAGTAAGGTTGTTATGAGAAAGAGTAAGCCCTTTGAGAGAACTAAGCTTTCCCATAACATCTGGAATTTCTCCCTCAAACATGTTATTTGAGAGATGAATGCTAGTGAATATTTTCAAGATTCCCTGCAGCTCATAGTCTAATCCCTTAATTGTCACAACCAGTGAATATTGATAAGAACTGACATTCATGTATTCAGGAGAACCCTCATCTCTATAAAGTTCCATCATCGCTTTAAAATTTTCGATGTACTGAACAGGCAAAGGACCAAGAAAACCATTGTTGGAGAGATCCAGAACTCGTAACCTGAGGAAAGATGGACTTTCTTTGGTGCTCTGCACAAAACCGTGGAACTTGTTGGACCTTAAGACAAGCACTTGAAGGTCTGGTAGAGATTCCAACCAATGAGGGAATGTATCCTCTATGTTGTTGTTGCCAACGTCAATAACCTCTAACTTGCTACAATTCACCAAAGACCTTGGTAATGGCCCGTCCATTTGATTTCCATGTAAGTTGAGATTTCGTAACCCACAGCCCTTTGGAAACCCAAAAGGTATATTTCCATCAAAGTAATTGGCTTGCAAATCCAACACTGAGAGAGACTTAGAAAGACAATTTGGAATCTTCCCGATTAAATTGTTATGAGAAAGGTCAAGAATTTCAAGATCATCCTTTTCACATATCCATTCGGGAATATTTCCATGAATGCTATTTTTGGATACCACTAGGCTTTGCAGACCATTTGAATGTCTTAAGAAAATGGGGAATTCACTCAAGTTACAAGAAGACAAGAAAACATTAGTTAGTTTAGGTAATGTGAAGTTGGCATCGACATTCATTCTCAAGGACAGATTATTGTTTGAAAGAATGATGGTTTCTAGATTTTGAAGTGAGAATATGTCAGATACTACTAAATCACTAAAATGATTTGATGATAAATCAAGATAACTAAGATTTACTAAATTAGCAATTGAGTTAGGAATTGAGCCCTGGAGTTTATTGTTTGACAAATCTAGACGTATGAGGGATTTTTGCTGGAATTGATTTATTTGACCTTGAAATTGGTTATGATTGAGATACAAGCCTTTTAAAAAAGGTAGGGTGAAAATCCAAGGTGGCAACATGCCATTAAGTAAGTTATAAGATAAGTCCAGATTGCTTAGTTTGGAAAACCTACTTGCATGAAAAGGAATGGGACCAGAAAACTGATTATTGGAAAGATCAAGAGAGGTAAGTTGTGTGAGGTATGCAAGTGATGTTGGGATTTGTCCATTAAAATTGTTAAAAGAGAGGCTTAGGTCAGTTAGTTGCCTTAAGTTACCTATGGAAGCTGGAATGGGACCAGAAAACTGATTATTGGAAAGGTCAAGAGAGGTAAGTTGGGTGAGGTTTGCAAGTGACGATGGGATTTGTCCGCTAAGATTGTTAGAAGAGAGGTCTAGCCTAGTGAGTTGCCTTAAGTTACCTATGGAAGCTGGAATGGGACTAGAAAACTGATTATTGGAAAGGTCAAGAGAGGTAAGTTGGGTGAGGTTTGCAAGTGATGATGGAATGGGACTAGAAAACTGATTATTGGAAAGGTAAAGAAAGGTAAGTTGTGTTAAGTTCCCAATGGAAGCTGGAATGGAACCTTTCAAGTTGCAGAAAAGAGTCAGAGACTGTAATGACTTTAGATCTGCTATAGACTCTCGCAATCGCCTTCCACAATCCATATCACCTAAAACCAACTGTTGGAGAGGACTGCTCCAATTGGAACTTGGAAGATCAATAGTGAGATTTCCCTTTCCACCTAAACTAAACCTCTTGAGATTTGGAAAGCGGAAAATACTATTTGAAAAGTTTCCTCTTAACTGACAATCAAAAAGACGAAGAGAAGTCAAAGAAGAAGAGAGATTCATGAAGAAACGAGGATTAACAGAAGTCATGTTCACTCCATTAAGCACAAGTTCTCTCACCTCACTCAAGTTATGAACAAGATTTTTGAAGGTAGTTGTTTCAAGGATCAAGTCAGAAGAAATGTAATAACTAGAGAGATTGAGAGAAACTAACTTGGGGAGGTGAGCAATTTCTCCCGGAACTTGGCCCGAAAATCGAGAAGAAGAGACATCAAGATGCTTTAGTCTAGTAAACTGGCTGATTTCCGATGGAATCTTGGAATGCCTAAAATCATTCAAGGAAAGATTGAGGCTCTGCAGGTTTTTGAGGAAGAAAAGAGTGCTGTTGGAAGGAAAGGTGCCATAAAGGAAACTGCAGCAGAGATTAAGGGCAATTACATGGCCTGTGACATTATCACAGCTAACTCCATCCCAGCAACAACAGTCTGTACCTTCCTTCCATGACTCAATCTTAGAATAATTTTCCCCACAATAATCTGGATCCAAAACAGTGTAATTGATGGAGAAGGATGTCTTGAATTGTAGCAAAGCAAGAGCCTCCTCATGAGAGCAGATATGCGTTGTTGAGAAGGAAGAAGCATGTATAGAGGATGAGAAGGCAATTTTAAGACAGAGGAAGACAAAAAGGAGGCAGAGTGGTGCAGAGAGCTTTGTGAAGATCCTCATTTCTTTGTTTGGCGCAATAGAGTACTCTAGAAGAGTATATATAGAGTGTTTCAAATTGAGGTATCCTAATAATTGAATATATTTCATCAAAATAAAAATAAATGAATATAGAATGTAATATTGACGCATGGTGGATGTCATTTTTTAATTTAGTTTTTGACTTTTTTTTACTTATTATTTTAAAATTTAAATAAATGACCTAATCTAAAAGTTTTTTTACTTTATAAGATTCAAATTAAATTTAAATAAGATTTTTTAATTTTGTTTATCTTATTAATAAAGCAATAATTTTATTTTTAATTCATTTAGTTTTCAATTTTTAGCTAATAAAAAAAGGTAAATAAATAATCATTATTTTAATTTTTAAAAAAAAATATTGAAAATTTCTAAATAAAATCACAATTTAAAATTAAATTTAAAAAAGAAAAGATTAAAATTGATAAACAAAATAGTTATTAA